TCTGTATATGGGATCCCAACCCTTGGTGGGAGCGCCGCCGCGCTCCCAAGCAGTGCATTGTAGCAGTGCGCCACCGGGCCGGCCCCCATCCGCATATCTTTTTTTTTTTTTCCTTTTTGTCTTTTTTTCGTGTCCGGCAATGGATTGCAACCCTCAGTGTCACTCCCGTACCGGACCGGGACCAGCAACGGGATCGCAACCCTTGGTGCTGCACCCACACCTCGCTCAGCCAGTGAGCGGGAACCGGTCTGTATATGGGATCCCAACCCTTGGTGGGAGCGCCGCCGCGCTCCCAAGCAGTGCATTGTAGCAGTGCGCCACCGGGCCGGCCCCCATCCGCATATCTTTTCCACGCTCCCAAGCAGTGCATTGTAGCAGTGCGCCACCGGGCCGGCCCCCATCCGCATATCTTTACACAATGCCATTATCAACACCTGAGAAAATGATTTGGTGAGGTACCTGTTAAGGTCTTTGGCTTATTTTATCATCGGGTTGTTTTCTTATGCTGAGTTTACAGCGTTCTTTGCATATTTTATAATAGTCCTTTATCAAACATGTCTTTTGCTAGTATTTTCTCCCAGCCTGTGGCTTCTTTTTATTCTCTTGACAGTGTCTTTTGCAGAGGAGAAATTTTTAATTTTAATGAAGTCCAGGTTACCAATTCTTTCTTTCATGAATCATGCCTTTGGTGCTATGTCTAAAAATTCATTGCCAAACCCAAGTTCACCTAGATTTTCTCTTATGTAACCTTCTAGGAGTTGTATAGTTTTGCATTTTACATTTAGGTCTGTGAACCATTCTGAGTTGATTTTTGTAAGGGGTGTAAGATCTATGTCTAGATTCATTTTGTTGCATGTGGATGTCCACTTGTTCCAGCACCATTGAGGCCTACATTTTAACAATAAGGAGGCTGCTCAGTTAGCTCACTTGGTTAGAGCATGGTGCTGATAACAACAAGGTCAAGGGTTTAGATCCCCACACCAGCCAGCCACCAAAAAAGAAAACAAAACACAGTAAGGGGTGGTTATTTACTTAACAATAAGGGGCCCCACATGCACAAACTAGGTGATCAGTAAACACTGAATGAAGACTGAATCAGCATTCCAAGAAATACCCGACAGACACTAACACTGTCCATCCAATAAGAAAAATCGCCAGCTGGTTTCCTGGCTACGATTGTCCAACATGTCCATTAGTTGATCCTTCTTTAGAGAGCTGACTTTTAGGGGCATTAATTATAACCAAAAAAGATTTGGCCAATATGTGAGGTCTTGTGACCTGTGCAGGGCTGGGCTGTGCGTCTCGACCCCTCTGTCCCAGGTGTGGATTATGTGTGACCCCCTGTGTCACAGTCTCTCCTATCGCTTTTCTTCTCTCCAGCTCTCCTCTGCCTCCTTAGTTCTCACAAAAGGCTGGGATGGGAAAATCAGGCAAAACTAGGAGCAGTGTGGTTACTACACATCAACCGTGCTGTGGTAATTTGGTGGGTAAAATTTAATCCGAGTCTGGACTTGGAGTTCTGAATCCTGGCTCACGGACCGGTTAGGAGGTTCAAAAGCAGGCTGTGGGGGCCTGGGATGCCGCTGAAATTGGATGCACATGTTTGTGGGTATGCATGATTTCCTGTGGAAAAGTTCCATGTCTATCACTGGATGCTTGGAGAATCTATGACCTCCCCCAAAAAACTAGGCTGGGAGCATCAAAGTTTGAGACTGATACAACTGACAAAGCAAAAAACTAACCCAGCTGGTTTAATAGCACATAGAGCTTGGGCAAATAATTTTTTAAAAACTTTTTTGGAGGCTGGAAAAAAATTTTCCAAAGGAAAAGAAGATTTCCTGTGAGGACAAAAACACCTGTGTTGAAGCCACAGAGGCAGACTTGCAAACCAGACACGGGTCCGACCCCCGGTGCTGCCGCTCCCCGGCTGCGTGGCCTGCGCCTGTGTCCTCGCCTCTCTGAAGCTCGTCTCTCCCCACCGACACCTCCCTCAGGGAGACCACGGGTGAGAAGTTCTTGGCAGAACAAACATCAGGTCTACAGTTTTTATTGTTTACGAAGTACTCTAAAAGAAATACACTTTGTTTTCAGGCAGAGAAACATCCATTTAAAGTTGTAGTAGACCTAAGCGTCAGCAGGTGGCCTCACCACACAGAGAAAACAGTGACTCTGTGACTTGAAGGCACGACTGTGCTCATATAGTCTTAGCAGAATTTACCGTATGGATAAAGAGCGGAGCAACCTTAGTCTTCAGTAGTCTTATTATTCTACCATATATCACTTTATGTAAGTTATCATTTGTTATTTAAATTTATATACTTCAGCATAATTTACTATTATATGATTTATAATATTTCATGTTTTGAAGTAGGATACGTGTTATAGGAGAAAGAAAATACATAATTATACTGGTATTGTCAGGAATTGAGATTTTTGGCATAGATGGAAAAAGAAATAAGCGTAAAATCAAAGAAGTAAAACCCTATAATCTTACATTTTAATAGGAGAAAGAAAATACATAATTATACTGGTATTGTCAGGAATTGAGATTTTTGGTATAGATGGAAAAAGAAATAAGCGTAAAATCAAAGAAGTAAAACCCTATAATCTTACATTTTAATTGGGAAATCTCTGTGCAAACTCCTAAATTTTTTTTCATATAAAAATACATATTTCCTAGCTCTATTTATTCAAAAGCCCTACCAGTATAGAAAACCCAGGAGCAGCCATCATTCCTGGTGCCCAGGTTGGGGTATATAAATTGCTATCTTCATACCAAGGAAGAAGGACACGCTGGGGAGACGTCTGCACCAGGCTCGGGGCAGGACAAACCCGGGAGAAGCCTGGGCCATCACGTTGGCCGGCAAGCCACGAAGACCAGAGGCTTGTGTCAAAGGACTGCAGGAGCCAACCTGAAGCCGCCCTCAGGCCAAACATGGACAAGTTGGGTATCAAAAAGTATGCCTGCCATGGACTGAAACCACTTAAGCGTTCATTAGGAAGCTCAGGACCCCTCCATAAAAAGCTCCCCTGGTGATCACTGGCCATCGCCAGGGCATCAACTCAGTATTCTGAAAACTGAGAAAGGGGGAAACAGGCATTGCCCCGCCTTTTCTGTGCAAGTGGTCTTTCAAGGTAATCAACTAGAGGACGAGGAAGAGTCCTTCATAGAATTCCAGCTAATAACGCAGAGAACAGAATTCACCAGTTTGCAACCACCAAGGAAGTATTAGGTGCAGGCAATTATCCATAGCTGTTTAAAACCATTGGGTAAGAGACTGACGGCTGGCTGACAACACCTGTCCTGCTGGTCAATCCTAGCGTCACCAACAGAACTGAGCGGACATCCCATGCCTGGGCAGAGGCCCTGAACCTGAACGTGCTAGAGGCTCCTCCTGCTCTCAGGAGCCACGAGCCTGTGAATCTCCACCACAAGGAAGTAAACAGCCCAACCCAGAATGGGACATTCTATAGGACAAGCGAGCTATAGATTTCTTCAACAAATAAATGATGGGGGCACAGGGAGGGGGAGGGAGTTCTGCCAGACTCAAGCAGACAGGAGGACACATCAGCCGCAGGCAGTGTGGGGTAGTGGGGTCAGCCCGGCCTGCTTCTCCCCTTCAAGGTGGGCTCTCAGGACTGGCCACTTCAGGCTGACTGAGCCACTGGGGTTCCCGATCCTGTCATGGGAGGAGGGGAGGACACATCAGCCGCAGGCAGTGTGGGGTAGTGGGGTCAGCCCGGCCTGCTTCTCCCCTTCAAGGTGGGCTCCCAGGACTGGCCACTTCAGGCTGACTGAGCCACTGGGGTTCCCGATCCTGTCATGGGAGGAGGCTCCCCAGAGGCCTGCTTAGCAGGATGGGGCTTCCTGAAGCATGTGAAGGGACTCAGGGTCACACTAAGTGGCAGGGTGTGCAGGAAGCGGTGCTGCTGTCTGCGGCATGGGAGGATGCAGCCATGAGTGCCCTCCAGGGAGGCAGGCTTGGCAGGGATGCAGAGCCTCTGTGCTTGCACACTGGGAAGCTGTGAGCCAACAGGGTGGCTTTCCCCTGAACTTAAGGAGTCTGGGCTTGGGGTTACTCTGGCTGACTGCACCCACCCGACTGGAGTGGAGGCACAGGCCAGTGTTGTCAGCAGGTCACTGACAACAAGGGAAGGAACACGGGAAGGTACTGCGGGAGCCCGAGCCCCAAGGCAAGAGGAAACCCCCCTGAGGCTCCCACACTTGAACTGAAACACCAAGACTCCTGCAGAAATTGATTTAATAAAGACAATTCCATTGGGAATTCCAGGACAGTCTTTGGCCATCTGTGACCACAGACCAGGCTTCTCTTACCATCTCTGCCACCAGAGTCACAAGACCCACACCAGGACCAGCCTCACCCCCAGTGGCATCATCTCCACCTCCAGCTGTCGCTGGTCTCCGAGAGGTGGTGGGCGCTGGCTCAGCCTGCTGGATACTGCGCTGGGTCATGGGTGGGCAGAGCCAGGGCACCTTTGGGGATGTCCCCACCACCCACGGCCAGATGGCAGCAACAAGCTGCAGGTCACAGCCAGGGCCAGGGTCAGTTGCACCCTTTAATGAGACCCCAGCTGTCCTCAGAGGGGCCTCCAAGGGCCATTCTGGCTACTGTGGGTGGCACAGACCAGACACCAGTCTTGCCTAGTCAGGGAGGGCCAGCCTTGGGCCCGGGGCCCATCACACATAGTCCAGAATCTCCGTCTCCATCTCGTTCTCACTCCCATCTGACGGCTTGAAGTCCTCCTCTTCCTCTTCATCCTCCTCCTCCTCATCGTCCCCAGACTCGTAGGTCAGCTGCTCCTTCTCACTGCCAGCCTTGGCCGGGCTGGAGAAGAGAGCTGGGCCAGAGGAGACAAGGGTGTGTGGGTCCCACGCAGGCCCCCTGGGTGGCCCAGAGCAGGCTGCAGGGCTCCTGGGGAGCCTATTTACAATTCCAGGTGTTTGGGCTCAGCCTGGAGAAGCTGTTGGGGAAGTTCGGGGGCAGGAGGAACAGCTGGGCATCTGTCAATCTGCAAGCACTTCAGGGGAATACTGAAGCAGGCAGGTTTGAAACCACATTCCCAGAGGAGCCATGGGCCCCCCGAGAGTGTATGCACCACTTTTCCTAGGAAAGGGTTCATAGCCTTGTTTAGATTCCCAAAGCGGGCAGTGTCCATGTCTCAGACAAAGCTAAGTCCCCTTGCTCTGGTCAGATCCGTGGGGCCTGGCTGGGTCCAGGACTCCCTCTCCCCAAGCCTGGGAGGAATGCCCTGAGAGGGGTCGTGATGGTACTCTCCCCAGCCTCACCAGACCCACAGCCCAGCAAGTGGGCACCCTTTCCTCGCTTCCCCAGAAGCCAGCCCCTGCCCCTGCCAGGGCTGCTGGCCCCTGGAAGGATCCAGGCAGCACAGAGTAGGGCAACCAGGCCATGGGCTCCTGATGTCCCTGCTCCCACAGTGGAAGAGACAGAGGCAAAGCATGCCAAAGTGCGCTGGAAGATGCAGCCATGGGGTCAGCACATCAAGTGGAGGCTGTGGATGGTGCCCCAGCCCACTGCAGCCCCTCCCCTCTGAGCCTGCCCCCTGCTTTCGACCCCAGTGCTGAGTGCTACAACTCCCAACCGGGTAGCTCAGTGGGGCAGCCCAGGGATGCTGGACCCTGGGCTGAGCCCTGGCTCACAAGGCCTCCCTCCCACTAGGGTCAGAGGCAAGATGATCTACCTGGCATAATTTCTTGGGAATGGGTCTATCAGGGACACTGGCTCTGTCCCAAGTGGGCCCCCGGGCATCTGGGCCTTCCTTCACCCCAAGCAGCTCTCACCAGGCCTCTTGGAGCGGATGGTCTGCCGGATCAGGAGGGACATGGCGTTTCTCAGGTTGTCGCTGGTCTTGGGGAGGCACCACCCATCCCGCTCTGTGCACAAATTCTCCGCCCCGTCATTGCGGTGAATGATCTTCTGCAACCTGGGAACGTACAGATCCAGGGAGGTCCCTGCTGATAGGGCCAGTACGTGGTTTTGGGAGAGGAGGAGTTGTGTTGAGAAAAACCGCACTCAGAGTGAAGTCGGCAGAGAATATGGAAATGAAGAACATCACGAGAGCTGTGGGCTCCCAGCTGGGTCCTTAACTTGGGTGGTCCCTGGACACCCTCGAACTGCACATGAAGCTGGGTGTGTGCTGGCACATTTTTCTGGCAAGAGTCTCAGCTTGCACCAGACTTCAAGCTGTTTAGCACGCTCCCCTTCTCCTCCCGTCCCAGTGCTCTCCCCTGCAATTATTTACACATCACAAAGAGCAGGTGGCTAGAAGGTTCTGGCATCCGACCAGCCTCGGGATTAGGAACGGCGTTCCAGACCCTCATGCGGGCACCACAGGATGAGGGGCAAAGACTCACCAGCAAGAACTATCTCTGCCTGCCCGTAGCCATTTCTTATGAGAACAGCTCTGTTCAGAAGTGCCACCTGTGGTGGACACCGGGAACTGCTGCGGAGTGCCACCCAAGCCATGCACGGGGACCCTCTCAGCAGCACCAAACTCCGAAGCAGGCGAGTGCTCTTGAAGCAGAAGGGCTGAAGCAAACACTGTCCTTGGGCATTTCCCAGCACTGGCCTCGAGTCCGATGGCCCCCCCTTGTCACCCCAGGGCCCCTCACGTACGTACTCTTCCACGTTCAGATCACATAACTGGTAGAACATCTGTCGATAGGGTGGCAGGGCCCCCTCCCGGAAGATGTAGACCGAGTCCTGGGGAGGGAAGGGGAGACACCGGGAGGGTTGGCTGGGGCCCTTGGGCGTGGACAGTGTTGGAGACCCCCATGCTGTAGGCTCCCATGGGGGTTTCTCCAAGGAGTTGGCTGTCATCAGGACCAGGTTGGGCAGACAGGCCAGAAGGCCGGGGAGCCTATCTGGAGAAAACAAGCTTTGATGCCCCCGGAGTTTCTGAGGGGTCGGATGAAGCAGCCAGACCCTCCTGGGGCCACGGGGAACCGTGAGCCCACCAGCGAGGTGGGCCACAGCACTGGTGGTGTGGGGCTGGCCCTGGCAGCGCAGGCCCCTGCTTTCTGTGCCACCCTGCAGAACCTGACCTCCTTCTTCCTCACCAACTGCTATTAACTGGCTGTCCTATGTCCCCCCCACACTGCCTTGACATCTCTTCCAGGAGGAAAGCGGCATTTGATGAGTATCCCTTCTCTTTTCCCCCACACAGGCACGTGCTTCTAGAAGCAGGGATAATGCCTCAGGTGAGAGTCCTTGAGGAGAAGGAAGTCACTTGGGCTGGGACATGGTCGCCCCTCACTGAAAAGAGAGCAAAGGTCTGGAAAGCCTGGGGCACTGATGGCATCGGGGTGGCCTCGTCCCTCACATCACCTGTCCACTGCACTCAAATTCTGCCACCCCTTACCTTAGGCAGGTGATTCCGGGTGGGGGACACACCCTGCTCAGCCCACCCCAGGACTGTGGAGAGGCTCGCAGAGCCTGAATGTGGAAAAGGCTTTGGAAATTGCCAGCCACCGCTGGGTGATCAAACTGGTCACCTCACGAGCCCGCAAGGGCTCTGGGCCACCTCCACACCTGCGCCCAACCCACGGCCACGGCCCGGACGGTCTGCGTGGCGTGTGATTCCCATCATTCCAGCAGCAATCGTGTACCAATCGGTGGGCCAGGCTCACGAAAGGCAGCCACGTGCATTTGCCAATGTCGGATTTCCTTGAAACCTGTCATCGCCTCTGTGCCCAGATGGTCCTCAGTACCCACGGCCTTGGGTGGTTTGCCCTGAGCTCTGGCCCTCAGTTTTTGGAGGCTGTCCCAAGGGTACTGGGTGGGCAGAGCTGCCTCAAAGCCCCTTCCGGGGGCACTCACAGGGCACCCAGCCCTGCGAGGGAGGTGCCTGCCTGCCACCACAGCCTTCTCCCTCATCCAGGCAAAGAGCTGCTCTCTCCTGGGGCTCACAGGACACCCACCTTCAGCTTGTACTTGTTGGGGGTTGATTTCCGTGCACTGGCCGTCCCCGACGGGCCCAAGCCCTGCTTCAGATCATGCATGGTAACGAGCTGGCCGGCTGGCAGGGACAACAGCAGTGCTTTGGCACACGGGGTGGGACTGGGGGTGCTTCTCCCAACCACCCCACCCTTCCCTCCTGCCTGCCCGCCCCCCACAGGGAAGAATGGCCAGCAGTGCCCTGAAGGGACCCGCAGGAGGCGCCTCCCCATCTCACTGTCCAGACACTGCCCTTCCTCGGAATCCACATGATGCCAAATCACTCCTGAGCCACAGCACAAGCCCGGGGCACTCACGCATCTTTCTGACGGTGACAGGGAGGCTGTAGTTGTAGGTGCTGCGTTTGGCTTTGACAGGCATGTCACTGGTGGCGTAACCTGTGGGCGAGGGCGGGCATGTTGGGAGGGCAGGCTTAGGGCCCGTCTGGCAAACAGCACTGGCTTCACATCAGGGGCAGGACCTGGGTTTGTGGGGTGCCTCCTAAGAAAGGTGACCCAAGCTGACACGCCACTGGGGTGACAGTCACCAACGCATTCCAGTACTCCCCCATACAGGCTAGTGCTCTGTGTGTGGGGCTCACTGCAGTCCTGGGGTCAGACACTTGCTAGTCATAGGACCACAGGTCACTGTGGAGTGACTGGAAGAGCGACTGTGGGTCAGAAACTAGAGGGTCAACAGTGGAGCCAGGCCAGAGCAGGACCTGCCCTTTTCTGCTATCCTGAGCCCACCAGACTCTCACCAGTGGGAACGAGGCTTTTTATCCTCTCCATATGAACAGATACTTATCACAAGAGGGAACACGACAAGAAACTGAGAGAGAAAATAGAAGGCAAAGCTTTTTGTGGTTTTTACCATATTTCATTCCACAACGGATTCGGAAATCAAGGACTTGATAGATCTTGGCTTCTGGGTTTTTTCGGGGGTCGTACCCATATCGAATCCACAGGCTTCTCCAGGGGCCTGTGATCTAGAGACAGAAAAGGCGGGAGTGTGAGGTGGGGTCAAGGCCAGGCCCGCTTGGTGCCTAGGCAGGGGCAGAGCCCTGAACTGAGGCAGCAGAACACCCGAGAGCAGGGACATGGCTCTGGACCCCACGCCAGCTCTCTCACCCCGGGCATCCACCTGGTCTTCCCGTCAGAGGGAGGGGGCAAGGGCACCTTCCCCCAGGCTTTCATGAGGGTTAGAGGAGCCTTCCCACAGAGCCTGGCACAAGCCAGTGCTCACTGTTATTGTTCTCCTGATGTACTTCTGAAGTACGTCTGTCTAAGAAGCCAATGCTAAGTGATGGAAGGCAACGCTCCAGAGTCGGGAGTCCAACAGGACGAGAGGGATGAGCCTTTCTCATGCTCCAGCAGTCACCAACCCTTGTGGTCACATCAAGGCTGTGATGTCACCTGGCCTCCCCAAGGCTCTGCATGGGGACCCTCAGCAGGTGGGAACCCTTTCCTATTGGCCTTTGGGAACTCAGTAGTGACACCCTGCCCGACTGAATCAAAGGTGGATGTGTCCCCACCGAACCCCACTTGGCATGGGTGGAGGGGGCTGGGGCAGGGTGGCTCTTTGGTTAAGGGCCCAACCTCTGCAGCTAGATAGTCTGGGGTCCCCAGGTGGCTCTGCCACTTGCCGGCTGTAGGACTGCAGCACATCACATCACCTCCCTGAGCCTCAGCTTTTCCTCAGAGATAAAAAGGGACTTCTGCAGCCACCTCCACGGAGGAACAAAGGATCTGATGTGCACACAGTGTTTACCCATGGCCTCGTTCTTAAAAGTTCTCAGTACAAAGTCATTCTACAGTCCATAATCCTTCTACCTACAAGTTAGGTGATTACACCTTCATCCTAAAATCATCCAAATGTGGCCAAATATGTTATTAGGAGGTTGTGGAGAGTGCCCTGACTCATGGAGCTGGAAACCTTTCTAGCTGGCTTTAAAAAGCCATCTCAGGGGTGCCAGGATGGTGGGTACCAGAAAAGAAGGTGCCAGGGTGGGGATGTATCAGGACAGAGGTTCCAGGATGGGAGCGGTGCCAGGACAGGGGCCACCTACTCTTGCTGTGGCTCTAAGATATCACATCAGGGATTAAGGACCACTCTGGTGGGAACCAAGCGGGTGGGTAGCTGGTGATGCTTACCATGTAATAGGCCATGAAGGGAAGCAAGATCTTGAGCTTGTCGGGGTGGACACTCATGTTGGCCTTGATGGCGTTCCGGGACCAGATGGGTCGGATGTCAAAGAGCTGGGGAGGGCCAAGGGCAGAGGTGAGATGAGTACCAGCAGCTTCCTTCCTCCTGCCCCAGACTCTGCAGCGTGGCCTAAGCCCCTCCAGACAGGAGTGGGTGGAGAGCAAGGGCGAGCAGCAGGGCCCAGCCCCCAGCCCCTTCGCACATGCACTCATCCCTTCCTTCCCTCGGAAGCATGGGCTGTCCACCCGGCATGTATCAAGTGCAGCTGTGGGGCCTGGGGTCCTGAAATGATCACAAAGGACATGGTCCCTGTCCTTACACAGCTTACAGTGCAGTGGGGTGCAGGGCTGAGAGGGGACGTCCAGAGCTACAGGACCCTGAGCAGCCCCACCCTGGAGGGCAGGCACCTGGGTGGGACAGCATCAAGGCTGATGGGGTGGCCTAGCCCAGGGGAGGATGGCACAAGGCCAGTGGGCCGAAGTGTGGAGGGCCAGGACAGATGCTGGGAATTCAGCAAGATATCTACACAGTCTCTCTAAGAAGAAACCCCCCATGGGAACAGGCTGTAACTTCAGCTTAAACAAGGGAAGAGTCTACGCCTCAGTCAGCAGAGACATGGCATGTGAGCTCGCTGTGCACGCCTGGTGGGGACACAACAGCCAGAGGCCCCAGCCTGGTCTTCGCAGCACCTGCAAGCCAGAGGGGAAGGCAGAATGCCGGGCTCCAGCTGCAATGGGGAGGAAAGTGCCAGGGCCTCACACGCGGGGTCACCCCATCTGGTTTGTTGCAAGTGAAGGGATAAGTGAAAGCTCACTGGGTCCCAGAGCTCCACATCTGAGTCACATGTGAACAATGCACCCATTTTTTTTTTTAACCACCTGAAGAGATCTCTTAAGAATTCTAAGTGAAGGCTGACCAGTTAGCTCAGTTGGTTAGAGCGCAGGCTCATAACACCAAGGTCACAGGCCCATACCGACCAGCCGCCAAAAAAAAAAAAAAAGGAAAAGAAAATAAGAATTCTCAGAAGTGTTTTCAAGCTCAGGAATGCAGGGCTTATACTGACGCAGTTTTTAGACGTGACACCTGGAGGTGAAAAATTCCCAGGGACGAATGAATGAGTTTTAAAACAGTGAGTAGGGCCCACCCCACGACGCTGCGGGACAGGGAGCAGCTGGGTAAACGCCAGGTGGTCGATGCAGAGCTGCCCCGCAGGGCCAGGCACGGGCGGTGCTCACCTTCCTCAGCTCCTCCTCCACTTTCCGATCCAAGGGGTTGGTGCAGACTCTTTTCCACGTCTGGACCGCAGCCTCCAGCGGCCGCAAGGGCACCTCATCCTCAAAGTTGACAAAGATGGCGTTGTGGGGGCGCCGGGCCCTGCTCAGGCCAATCAGGTTCTCGCCTGAGATAGTGGGGTTGTTGTAGCCTTCCCTGGGGACAGAGAAAGCCGGTGAGGGCAGGAGTGCCGAGGACGATCCAGGCACAGGCCTGGCCAGACCAGGAGGGAGCCCAGCAGGCCTGCAATACCAACACCCAAGTGTGTGAGCCTTTCTTTCCCCCGGAAATGTGGGTTAGGGAGAGGATCTCAGGCTGGCGACCTAGGAAGAACAGGGGCTGCGACTGCTAACAGCGGCTCAGAGAAGCTCCGGTGCCTCCCAACGGCACTGAGTCAGGTACAGCACCGTCCAGCATGCGGTCTAAATGTCCACCAGCTGGGAATGGGAAATCAGTCCAGGCACAGCCATAGAAGAGGACATGATCTGCTGGTAAAACAGTAGCAAGAGCTACACTTGCTGACGTTCACTTTCATGCAATTCACTTACCTAACCCTTAAAACAATCCTGTGAAGAAGGAACCATCTTCTCATCAAGTAACTGAGGCCACAGGAATTAGGAAACATGCCCCGGGAAAGGGCTGACCATAAAGGAGCCAGGATTCAAGGCCAGGCAGCCTGGCTGCAGAGGTCCCATTAGCCACCTGTCCTGACACCTAACAGAGCATGACTCTGGCTCAGAAGTGTCTCAACAACTGCTGTGGTTAGAATGTGTCCCCCAAAGTTCATGTGCTGGAAACATTATGCCCAATGCAACAGGGTTGAGAGGTGTGACCTTTAAGAGGTGATGAGATCATGAGAACTAATTCCTGCACGAGTGGATTAATTCCATGACTGCAGGAGTGGGTTCCTGAGAAAAGGTGGAGTTCAGCCCCTCCTGCTCCTGCTCTTGCCCATGCTCTTTTGCCCTCCCAGCTTCTGCCATGGGATGATGCAGCAGGAAGGTCCTCGCCAGATGCAGACCCCTGGACCTTGGACTTCCCACCCTCCAGAACTGTAAGAGATAAATCTCTGTTCTTTATAAATTACCTGGTCTCAGGTATTCTGTTACAGCAACACACAAGGGACTAAGACAGCAGTACAGAGGTGAACAGGAAAAAGATATTACCAAATGGTATTGTCATACAGCACAGAGGTCAAAAGCAAGGGTTCCATTTGTTCAAACCCACAGAATGTCCACAACCAAGTGAACCTAATGCAAACTACTGAAGTAGGCTGTCACTGTGACAGACGTATGTGCCAGTGGAGGACGCTGACAGCACAGGAGGCTGTGCGTGTGGGGCAGGGGCTACGTAAGAAATCTCTGGACCTTCATCTTACGTTGCTGTGAACTTAAAACTGCTCTAAAAAAATAAAGTCTTTAAAAAACACACACAAGGCAGGAGTTCTAGAACTATGTCTGTGCGGGCACAGAACATACCTAGGCGGATGTTTACCAAAATACTTGCAGTGGTTCCCTTGTTAAGGTAGGACATAGAGATGTCAGGCTGTACAGCAGCGGGGGGTTGGGATAAAGAACCCCCGTAAGACCACCGTCAGCTTCAATCATTATCATCCTGGGGCTAATATCGTTTCATCTGTGCCCCAGCCCACTAAATTATTTTGAAGTACATTTTAAAGCATGTCCTGGACATCATATAATTTCATTCAGGTGATTATTACCTTTTATATTTGTTTCCACTTTACCTCAATTTTCTACATGAGTACATACCATCTACCTACTTATAAATAACAAAGGAAACAAAAAGACAGAATCAAGCCTTTTTTTTGTTTTTTAAAGATGACCGGTAAGGGGATCTTAACCCTTGACTTGGTGTTGTCAGCACCACGCTCAGCCAGTGAGCGAACTGGCCATCCCTATATGGGATCTGAACCCGTGGCCTTGGTGTTATCAGCACCACACTCTCCCAAGTAAGCCACGGGCCGGCCCTCAAGCCTTTTTTTAATGTGCCTCCGTTAGAAACTGTCCCAGACAAGTGCAACATTATCCTGTTTTCAAAGACACCTCCCTGAAACCCCAGACGCCCCCAAGAAGGAAAGCCAGGCAGCCCACCTGCAATAGCAACAGAGGGAGCAGGCAACCACCTGTGCCAGGCACTGCAGGGAAAGGGCCCATGGCCACCTCTGCTGCCTACCCCACCCCATGGTAGCTTCAGGCTGTGGGCTGTGTGTGTCACCATGATTCGAAGTGCATTGAGAACTGTTGGCAGGTGCCAAGGGGTGCTGACTGCAAAGTCAGTAGGATCACCCTGCAGGGCTCCCCCAAAGAGCAAGAGGGACCCTGTCAGGCCAGCCTCCCAGCCTCTCTTCTGCCCACCCAACCTGTGAGAAGCCCAACCTCCACAGATTCGGGGGCGGGGGCCAAGAGGCAAAGGCCAGACCTCCCCCACCAGACGTCGTGAACCCCAGCACCCAGGGAAATTGACAGCAGCCCTGGGAGAAAAGGCAGGTTCTTTCCATATGCTGGAAAACCAATAAACCACACAGAGGAAGAGGGGCCTGAGGGCCCAAGGGCAGCCACTCTGCCCCCTCGCCCCCACCCCAGAGGCTTGGGAGCAGCTGCCAGCTGGCGCCATGGGCAGAGCAGTGACTCCGAGGCTGCCATCCTGCACCAGGTGCAGCAGTGCAGGGTGCTCTATTTTCTTCTGCTACACAGTTTTGTTTGTTTCTGACTAAACGAGCAAACTGCTTGTGGGGGAGGGGAAAACAAAACATTTCAGAAATACGTAACTTCAAAAAAAAAAAAGGATGATATCATCCCCTGCCTAAAACTCTTGTGCTGAGTGTAATCCATGACAGTACTTCACAAAGTCTGTGGAAAAACAGAATTAAAAGATAATACGATACTTTAGATAGGATATGGAGGGGGAAAAACATAATACAAATCTTTGCATGAAGTTCTTGAAGTACACTCGTACATTCAGAAAACTGTACCATTCTATGTGCAAGGGTTTTCAGCAGGGAGATGACGTGACTGGTTCTTTTTAGTTATACATGTCCATACTGTTTTTTTTCTAACAAGCACAATTTACTCTAACAATCAGAAAAAAAGCAGGGATGGGGAGAAGGGCAAGGGATGTCACAGATTAAACAGACCCGGGAGACATGAATTGAAAGCACTGTGTGTGGCCCTTGCTTGGCTCCAGAGCTGCTTTTGAGATAATCAGGAAGAACTGAACAAGGACCGGCTACAGGATGACATTACGGAGCATTGTGACACCTGTTTGGTATGATACGAGCATCGCAGCTAGGTTTAAAAACTCAAGCCCTTTGCTGTTAGAGGTGCACACTGGCTTGTTTCTGGAGGCAGTGCTGTGCCACTGGAGTGGGGACAGGGACGAGGAAATGGGAGTAGCAGAATGTTGCTCCCTGTTGGAGCTGGTGGTAGGAACATGGGTGTCTATTAAACAAGCCAATTCTCTCCGCTTTGAGATACTTGTTTGAAACATTCCATAATATTTTTTTAAAGGCAGAGACCTTCACCCCTACCACTCTCTCTGGCTCACTCTGCCCTGGGAGTGCCGGCCTCTGGACCCTTCCTTTGCATGTGCCAATCCCCTGGTCTGGAATGTTCTCCCCGGATCCTCACCTGCCCGGCTCTGTTATCACTCAGGTCTCCGTTTTAAATGTCAGCTCCTCTGAGGGTTCTCTGTGACACCCTTAGTCCTGGCCCACCACTGTCCAGGACAACCCACTCCCCATTACCCACTTCAAGACACTCATCCATTTCCTCATGTTCCATCCACATCCTCAGTCCCCGGCCCCAGAACAGAGCCTCAGCTGACACCAGGCTCCAGGGAGTGCCCTGGGCCACAACAGGCAGGTGCTCAGGTAGGAGAGTCCTCCCACCCCTCCAGAGATAACTATTGTGGTTCCAACCGTCCAGACTTTTCTAGGCTTCTAACATCACACCACAATTTACATTTATACCACAGAAACTGTTCTAACACCTGCCTTTTTCACAGAGCAAGCTATCCTGGCCACGGGCCACATCAGGACACAGAGCCCCCTCTCTTCAAAGCTGTGTTTTTGGAAGCTTTAAACCTGCTACAGAAAAATTATTTAACAAACATCACCACCTATAGGCCATCTTTCAAACTGTCCCTTTCCTCTTGCTGAGCTGCTTTTACTAATCTTGCTACCCAGACCTTTATTCACTGGGTCCCCAAATACATGCTGAGTACCTCTCACAGGCCAGGCTGTTCTGGGCACCAGGGACACAACAGAGAACAAAACAGGCCCAATTGCTACCTTTGGGAAGCTTACATTAAAATGGGAAATTTTTAAAAATTTTGTCTTTTTGTATGTAATTTTAAAAAGTAAAGCACACAAAAATAAGGACAGTGTGGCACTGAGCAATAAGAAGGCCCACAGAGTGGGAAAGAGCGGCTTGGTGCTGCCCATGTGACACGGCCAAGCCACCAGCCCCATCTTGGCCTCCTTCTGTGTAAATGGGGGTGAAAAGCACTGGAGAGTCACTAGCAGGCTGAGATAAAATGCACACACAACACTGCTCCACAGGCACGCTAAATAATTGGAGTGGAACTGGTGGGTGCTATTAACTTCAAGTTGAGTATTTTCAAACTTGTTTTCTTTCTTTCTTTTTTTTTTTTTAAGATGACTGGTAAGGGGATCTTAACCCTGGACTTGGTGTCAAGTGAGCTAACCGGCCATCCCCATATAAGGATCCGAACCCATGGCCTTGGTGTTATCAGCACCACACTCTCCCAAGTGAGCCACGGGCCAGCCCTCAAACTCGTTTTCTTTCTTTCTTTTTTTTTTTTTAAGATGACTGGTAAGGGGATCTTAACCCTGGACTTGGTGTCAAGGGAGCTAACCGGCCATCCCCATATAAGGATCCGAACCCATGGCCTTGGTGTTATCAGCACCACACTCTCCCAAGTGAGCCACGGGCCAGCCCTCAAACTCGTTTTCTTCATTTTTAAAAATACTATTCAGTCTTGGCTTTTATACAAAGGAAATCCTATTCCTTCATGTCAGTGTGTGGCTAGTGTCCAGTAAAAAACCAACATGTGACCATGCCCAGTCCTGCCTTTCCAACAACCCCTGGGGTCTCTAACTAAAGAACTTATTTCACTGAATTGCATGTGGTCTTGTTAGGGATTTGCACATGGAGGCGGGTGGGGATAGGAGACAGGCTATGGGTCACATCCATCTGGCTTAAGCAAGATCTGTGTAGAATAACAGCCAGCTCAAGGGAGATGCACGGGGAGATGGCCAGGAGTTGGCAACCTCCAACTGCATGGGAGACAGACAGGGAGGTGGCAAACAGCTGTCGTGACCTGGAGCTGAGGTTTTGCAGGTGAGTGTGGCAAAGGGAAGGTGGACGGAGGAAGGAAGGATTATAAAGAGGACTGCAAAATCTCTGCCAGGGACAGGGACGGTGAGGCCACAAGGGGCGAAGGAGATAGAAAAGGGCTGAGGTCAGAGCAGAACATTAGCAGGTGGCATTTCTTAGGTAGTGTTGTTACTGGTAACAGCAAAGTCTAGAGAATGGCTGGTCAGCAATGACATGGGGATTATGCCAAAGAGGCCAATACTCAGCAGGAACCCTCAAGTCCCATGGCCAAGTTCTCTGTACTTTAAGGGTCCTCAGGAAGGAAGCCAATCTGGTGAGCACACAGGCCACCATGTACTAAGGGCTTGTTCTGTACTTGGCCATGTGCTGAGAGCTGTATGTGCTTTTTAAATTTAATCCTGATACCTCTGCTGGGTAGGCACTATTGTTATCCCGTTTTCAAGACAGGGAACCGAAGAGGCATGCCTGAGGCCTCCCAACTCGGGAGCAGCAGGGTCTAGCCTTGGACCTAGGCCCTCTGAATGTAGGGCCTTGCTCTGACCCCAACCCTGAAGGGGACAGGAAGCTTACCGGTGCTGTGTCTCTGGCCGATAGAAGTAGTCTGCTGGGGTGTCCAGCCGGGAAAAGATGGGTGGGGGGATGTAGAGTGGCAGCTCCTGGTGGAAGAAACTCTCCTTCTCGGGCTTGAGCATGAGCACTTTGTCATACATGGACATGTACCTGCCACCTGTGTCTGTGTGCACAGCCAAGTACTGGAAGTCGGACATTCCTGGAAAGAGAGGCAGACAGATGGCAGATGCCACAGCCAGGGACAGCTCTCCCCATCACACCCATCCAGGACCAGCAGCTGCTGCGCAATGGTGGCACGAGCTAAACAACGCCCTTCCAAGATACTTCTGCAAACTTGGCTCACCACCCTCCAAATCACTTAAATAAAAGCGAGCTGAGGAGGTGGGGGAGCTGCGTGATACCTGAGGATAAAGTCTAGGTCAGTGCTTCTGAAACATGAAGTGCATACGAATCACCTGGGGTCTTGCTAATGCAGATGCTGAGATGCTTCATTTCTAACAAGCGCCCAGGTGAGGCTGAGGCTGAAGCTGAGGTTACTGGTCCAGGCACACACACTGAGCAGCGCGGTGCTGGCTCAGTTGGAGAGACAAAATGCAAAGGGTGACATGTTGTGAATGGAAAACCTTGTCCCAGAAGGGACAGCCCTCTTTGGATACCACATTCCATTTGAATGACCAACATTCAAAATGCCCAACCCATGGGCCCCAAGTCCTCTTTTTTCTTCTTTTTTACTTTCTCCTTCCTATCTTTTCTCCTTCTATTCCTTTTTTCCTTTCTCAATCTTTTTCTCTTCAGGTTATGCCTCAGAACCACAGCTGTCATTGCAGACATTTCTAAGCTTGTTAGCAATTTGCCAAGCGCCTTCTGAGGGCCTGGGCCCCGCCCTTAACAGGCATCACCCCCAGATGTTCACAAGGGCCTGGTAAGCTCCAGGCTCTGCAGCCCCCACTATACAGACAAGGATACTGAGGCTGAGGGAAGCCAAGCCACCGCCCAAAGAATCACGCAGAGCTCAGGCAGGCATAACACCCATGTCCGCGCTCTTCTTATGCCCACCTCGCACCCTCACCTGCCACCTCCTCACTGGGGCTGCCTATAGGTAGCAAACTTGACTGAGGGCCCCATGGGAGACATCCAGTATGCTAAAGGAGTATGAGGTCCCAAGGGGCTGAGGTGAGCTGGGAAGGCTTTGGAGGGAGGTGACACCAGCAGCAGTCAAGACCAGGAGAAGATTCTAAAACACTGGGGTGAAAAAACTGGATGTCTACAACGACATCTTCTCTTAAGAATGCTGAAGACTGGGCGGCAGTGAGCCTGCAGTCCCCAGGGAACTGTCAGCTGGAGGGAGGAAAGGCTGCCTCCAGGATCAGGGCTGTGCTCTACCATTCCCCAAAGCCCCTGCCCACATGCCCGGGGATATCTTGGCCCACTTCACGGGTACAGATGACCCATATGGCTCCTGAAGGCAGTTGGGACAGCTGGGCCTGAAATAACCCGATGCCACAAGGGTAGATTTCAGTTACCCTGAAATTTGTAAATAGTAGAGATGATGCCAACGATCTCCATGTCCAATGTGACCTCAGGGTGGGCCTCGGTGCCCAGCATCCCCCTCCGCTGCCTGGTTTTCTTCCTGATCCGAAGCAGCAGGCTGCTGGTACTGAAGCGGTTGGCACACACTGGATGGCAGTATGGGTCCTTGGGCCGGAAGTACAGCTCCAGCCTCTTAGTGGGGTCTGCGTAGATCTATGGTAAGGCCGAAGGAGACAGAGTGAAACAGGGACCAGCTAAGCAGCCAGCGAGGAGCAGCTCCTCTCAACAAAAGCCTGATGGTGACCCAGGTGACCCAGGAAGGGCCAGGAAGCTCGTGTTTCATTTAGAGCGCTTAATCCCCAAAAGACTCATTTTAAACCCAAGAATCTTAGTGTTTATCTAGAAGAAAATAATGAGGATAAATAGGTTTCTTCCTTCTAAGAGGCTGTAAATTGAAGATAACAACTGCCCATTAAGTACAAGCCACTATCTATTAAGAGCCTGTTCAGTGTGGGGCTTATGTGACCCTTTTGGCAACACTTCAAGGGAGGTGTTATTACCCTTGAGCTTACCTTTAAGGTAACTGAGGCGTGGTGTTGGGGCTGGTGAGGGGGATTGAGTGACTTGTCTAGGACTACCTACTCTAGGAACCACCCACCCCAGAGGGTCTTGGTATTCAGTCTCATACACAAATGTTGCTTGGTCCAAAAAGACATCAAATCAATCACTAACAACCATTTGGCTTTGACTAGCTGTTACCTATAGCTTTCCAAGTCCCAGTTCCTTCTCCTTAAACTCTAAGAATATACCTACCTCATAGGATTGTTACGATCATTGATTGAATATCTGTGTAAAGCACTTAGCCCGGTGCTTAACTCATGGTAAACATTCAACATGCATCACATACATATGAATGAATGCTTGCCCCACACCAGGTCAGAAGATGCAGTGAGTGTCAGATGTGTGCATATGAAAGCACCAACAACATGCACTGGGACAAGATCATCTACAATTCATTCCTCAGGAATCCCTTCTCATGAAACACATGCCTCTGAGTCCTGATGAGGTGCGAATGAACCTAGAGTGGTGCTCAAGAAACACGAGTAGAATGAATGAATGAGGAAGGGCTCACACTATAGTTGGGTACAGATAATCCCTGGGGTTACTGAGAGTAAGTTCTGTCCAGGCCATAAATACCAAGTGAATAAGTCAATTTAAAAGAACAAAACATGAATGACTGAGGCTCTACTGGCATTCTGTGCTTAATGATAAAGTTCAAGCCGTTTCAATATTCATAAAGGGTAAGGACTCAGCAGTTAAGAGCTCAGACTCTAGAGTCAGGCATGCATGAGTTCAAATCCCCATTATACCATATAGGAGCTGTCTGACCTAACTTTTCTCACCTGTGTCTTTATCTGAAAAACGGGAATAAAAATGGTATCTAACTCATCAGATATTGTGACATTTGTGCATTTGACAAATATTTATAGAACTAGGCAACGTTACAGATGTTAGGAGTAGAGAAGTGAACAACAGGTCACTGCTGTCATGGAGTTTACAATCGCAGGGCCAAGGGGCTGAGACAAGCAATGAATACATTAAAACATAATTCCTTTTTTTTTTTTTTTTTGTCTCTCCTAAAAGATGACCGGTAAGGGGATCTTAACCCTTGGTGTTGTCACCGTTACAGATGTTAGGAGTAGAGAAGTGAACAACTGCAGGTCACTGCTGTCATGGAGTTTACAATCGCGGGGCCAAGGGGCTGAGACAAGCAATGAATACATTAAAACATAATTCCTTTTTTTTTTTGTCTCTCCTAAAAGATGACCGGTAAGGGGATCTTAACCCTTGGTGTTGTCAGTACCACGCCCCCCCCCCGAGTGAGCCACCGGCCGGCCCCAAAACATAATTTCAAGTTGGATTTAACAGGATGAAGATCCAGATATTAACTGCCAGAGGCCACTTTGGATCACTTTTGGTGATCAAGGAAAACCTCTCTAAAAAAGAGACATTTCAAGATCTGGTACATGTAAAAAACTTAACACAGAGCCTCATCCCCTGCTCCCCTACTTGTGTGACCTTGAACAAGTGTGTCCGTCCCCTTGTAAAATGCAGACACTGACAGTTCCTACCTGCTGGGGTTCTCAGGAGGATGAAATGTAAGCAAAGCACCTAGAACGGTGCCTGGCACAGAGTAAGGGGTCAGCTCTCAGTACCTTTGACACCAACAACACAACATGCGTCCCCGTCTCAGGCAGGACCACAGCTCTCAGCCTCCCCGGGCCTCGGTTCTCCTCTCCGTGCAGTGAGGACAAGGCAGCGCATTGCACCCCGCGGGGCTGCAGCTGAGCTGCGTTCACGGCACGGATGCCGGGGCTGCGGCTCACATTGGGGGACGGGATGGAGCTCCCGGGGTCTCCCCTACATTCCTTTCCCCTGTTTCCTGGGCGAAAAAATGACCCATTTCCGGCGATCCCAGAAAGCAAAGCCCCGCCCACTGGCGGCCCCCAGAGTCCGTCACACTCTTCGTTGCCAAGGAAACCACACTTCCCCGGGTGGTCCCGCCCCCTCAGCCGCAGTCCAGAGACTCCGGTGACCCGGAGAGTCCCAGATTCTTACCCGGGAGACGCCTTCCTCGCCACCCAGAGTCTGCAGCATCTTGGCGACGTCGCGCACCACGCCCGGGTACTCCACACACACCATACGCCGCTCGCGCCGCAGGTCCACGGGGACCGCAGCCCCCGGCCCCGCGTCAGCCGCCTCCGTCGCCATCCCTGCCCGCCTAGCTGGGCCCGCCACGGTCCGTCCGTCAAGGGGCTCCCTGAGGCCTCGCCTCAGTGGTTCCGCGAAAGAACCATTCCGGGCTCCCTCACCGCTCGTGTCTCCCTAAATCCCCGGGGTCACGAAGACTCGAGAGCAAACGCCCGAGGGGAGGCCCCATGGCCTCGGGAAAAACGACAGCCGCGTGCTCGGCTTTTTGTTTAAAATGAAGAGGGTTGGGCTAGCGGGCGGGGCAGGGGCTTGTCTCTCCCACCACCCAGCGAGCCACCCGGAAGATTGTAAGACACCACCCCGCCCTAGACTTCCGCCAATGGGAACCCTAGGACCTAGCCGAGATTCTAGCCAATGAAGAGTCCGAGGAGGCCGGGTGACGCCTCCTCCCCAGGTTTTAGCCAATAGGGAGCTAGAACCTGCCCGAGTCGTCCCTGCCCTCTTCCGGGGATCCCACCCAATGACGGTTCGGGGGCGGGTCCGCGGCAGACTTCCGGCCTGGTTCCCTGCGGCGCGAAGGTCTGCGCCGCGGTGCCTCCTCCCCAGGTTTTAGCCAATAGGGAGCTAGAACCTGCCCGAGTCGTCCCTGCCCTCTTCCGGGGATCCCACCCAATGACGGTTCGGGGCGGGTCCGCGGCAGACTTCCGGCCTGGTTCCCTGCGGCGCGAAGGTCTGCGCCGCGGNGGGGCGGGTCCGCGGCAGACTTCCGGCCTGGTTCCCTGCGGCGCGAAGGTCTGCGCCGCGGTTGGCTTCCTGGCTCCGCGCTCCGTGAGACGATTTCGCCAGGGCTCAGCAGCCCACGTGCCCCCGGCCGCCGCAGGACGAGGTTGGACGCTGCGAGCCCGAGGAACTCGCTCCGCTCCACACGCAGGAAGCCCCGTCGCTG